TAATCGATCTATCAATCAATCAAACTTTTCAGGGCTGGTAATTTTCCTCTGTTTTGCTGTGAATATTCCAATTTATTTTGAATTTACTGTGGAGAAATGTTTCGATGCAGAACACGGAGTTGAAGCATCTTGTCCAGCACCTACTGTATTCAGAAATTCGGTAGGTTGCTGAGTATTGTAGCCCAAGTACCGTATTTTACATGCTGAACTTTCTAGTTTACTCGATACAAAGCGATTCTGATGACATTGACGCAAACAATTGGTCCAGTATCTACTATCCTTATACTTAGCGTATTGACTGAATATCGTGTACATAGAAGTTTGAAGAAACGGCGAAAGTAAGAGAGTTTTTAACAGTAAAGAAAAAATATCGATTGATGTTGATTATCTGCACTCATATACATTTTAGGCTCTTCGAAAGTCAAAAGCGTAGTCGATCCATAGTGCTCACAGAAGAGTCGAAAGAGAAAGTCTCACGCACAGTTGCCATATTTATCGCTGTAAAATTCCTCATTTTCAGGTTTGAAATCCTTCCATTTTTATTTTCCCACTAATTTTGGAAATTATCTTTTAGGTCAATGCCTGTATTTTTCGATGTTTATGAAAATCTCTATGGAATCGAATCTTTTGGTGTTGCACTTTCAATTCTCGTTAGAATCTCCGATTTTATGATTGTGCTCAATTCAGCGACGAATTCATTAGCGTACTTTGGCAAAAAGAGGTGAGTCCACTTTTTAGTAGATGCACAAAAATAGATTCAAAAGGAAATCCTTGCAAAAGGTAAAAGCTATTGGAATTTATGTGCTAGGCTGGGATTGGGTAAAAGATGGTAGTGCTGCAAAAACATGCGCCTATAGGGGAAGCTTTGTAGATTAACCATAGATGATACTAGATTAGATAACCTATATTTCAACTTTTGCTCAATTTTTTGATTTTGATAACCTGACTAGTAGCTTCAGAGCTGCATATTTTCGACTTCCATTGGACGATGTACAAAACGGTAGCTTCTCATGGTTAGTTTTCATTTTTCTGGCGAATATGAATAGCCTTAAGGACTAAACAGTTTCAAAAGTGTTTTTAGTGATGTAATAGAAAACGTGAAGGCAGGGTAGCCGCATTTTATGCTAGGGTCAATTTGAGTATGCGAAATAATCTTTCAAATTAAGCTCACAAACTTTGATTGTCAATCTTTTCCAAGTCAATGTCTTGCGCTGGTTAAATTACCTCAAATTATAGAATGAGGATTACTTTGATAACCAATAAAAATTCTACATTGTGAGTTAAAGCATAGTGTTCTAAAGCAAAAGTCTTCCAAGAGATACAAAAAGCCTTTCATTTGACTAATTAAAATGCTAAGTGACAGTAATATAAAACTTCTGTAAGCACACAAATCAAAAGTTACCAAAGGCTTACCGTAATCCTACAAAAAGGTCTTAGGAATGAATGGCTTTGATGTTTGCCCTAATATAACAGATGTTCTGCAGAGGAAAGTGCCTTCGTGACTTGATATCTCCCTAGAACCATTGATGCAAATCAGGCCTTTTTTGTATCTCATACTTCTGATATACCACTCGTAGGGTAGATAATCAACGAGAACTTAAATTATGTTGCAGGAGTCCTTCCCATCTTACACTTATTGGGTTTGGTTCTTGTTGTAAATATATGCAAAAATAATTGGTATACGAAAAGAAACTTTTTGGGATCTCTATGTTACCAAATTTCTGCGTAAGCTTGTGATGCTTTTTCTTTGAAAACCATAATTTTGCAAAAGTAAACCCAACAAATTTGTGTGGCAACGGATTTCACGGTATACAAAGAAAGCTAATGTACTTACCACATTATTTGGTGCCAGCACATGGGTTTTGTTTTCAAACATATTTTGGATGTAGATGCAGTACAGTGTCAGATATACCAATTACTGTATTCCAATCCTGATCAAAAATTATTT